CAAGCCGTTCCGCCGCTCGTCCGACATGCGCGACCACGAGCGCGTGCACACGGGCGAGCGGCCCTACCACTGCGGCGTGTGCGGCAAGGGCTTCACCCAGTCCTCGGTGCTGAGCGGCCACGCGCGCATCCACACGGGCGAGCGCCCCTTCCGCTGCGCGCTCTGCGCCCGCACCTTCAACAACTCCTCCAACTTCCGCAAGCACCAGCGCACCCACTTCCACGGGCCGGGGCCGGGCCTGGGCGCGGCGACGGCCGAGGGGTCCGGCGCGGGGCACTCTCTGCAAGAGGGGCGCGGGGGCGCGGACCAGTAGACTGGGGGGGCGGAGCTGGGGCGGCAGGCCGCTGGGGGTGGGGTGGGCGCGGGCAGGAGAGGGGAGGGTGCGGACGGAGTCGCGCAAAGGGCCAGGCTGCTTCACAGACCCGCACGCGGACTCAGGAGAGGCGCCGGCCAGCACTGCGGATGCCCAGCCAACGCGCCTCCTTGTGCGAGATGGGGGTGCGGGGAGGCTGAGCCAGGGCAGTCAGGGCCCCGAGTCCACCGGCAGAAGGCGGGGCGCACGGGGCTGGAGCCGTGCCTACCTCACTGGCTTGCACTGGACCTGGGGCGACCCTCCCCCCAGGCAGAAGCGGCTTGCGGGTGCCCGGTCAGGACCAGCCGGCACCCCTGGCAGCAGAGGGCGCTCGCAGCCACCTCGCCGCCACAGCGCAGAGACGCCTCATCGCGGGATCCTCTCCAAGCACAGCTCCTGCCCCCAAGGCGAACCTCCGAGAGCACCCAGACTCCCCAAGGGGCACTTGGACACGCGACCGCCCTGGCCCGGTCTGCCCAGGATCCTCCCCCACGCCCAGTGTGGCTGCTCCTGTCCCCAGGGGCTGGGCGGGCACCGTGGAGCCCACCTGCGGCTCAGTGAGAGCCGGGTGACTGTTGGGGTGAGGACTGGGGGCGCCTCCGGCATGCCATTAAAGCACCTCCTGAAGGGCTCTCTGTCGCCTTGCATTGGGGTGTCTGCGGGCAGGGCCACAGTGCCCTGACTGCCCGCCCCAGGGGCGGCCCCTGTCCAGGGGGGCAGGGTGCGTGTCGGTATGCCAACTGGGGAGTCGCACCTGGGTGCCACCGTCACCACTGGCCCACGGACACTTACAGGCAGCAGTGCCCGGTCACGTGGGCACCCCGCCAGGCCCCACCGGTGCAGGAGCTGCACCGCACCCTCCTCAGACCACCAGGTCGTGGCCCAGGGACCCCACTGGCACAGGGCACCCCTCCGCCTCGCGGCCGGGTGGCTTTGAAAAGCGAGCAGACACGGGCGCCGGGGGACCGGAGGTCCCCGGCAGGCGCGGCATGGGCACACGGCTGGGGAGGGGCGCGGGCACAAGTGGGTTGCCCCACCGCCCGCGACGTCCCCTCACCTCGCGTTCTCAAACGTTCGCAGCTAGGTCAAACCTAGAAAACCAAGATGAGGCGGAGTAAAAGGCATCCGGCCGGGACCAGCCTGGCAGCTGGGGGCCCCAGTCTGGCTCCCGGAGCGGCTGCACTCGAGGCCCTCGAGCCAGCCTCCTTCGCCCCAAACGCTGGGTGGGCTGGAGCTGGCGGCCAGGTCCCCACGGGCTCCGGGGCTGTTCCTGCTCGGGCCACACCCGCCCCGGGGCGCCCCTTCACCCCGGGGCCCAGGCTGGCGAGTCCCCGCTGCCCGCAGGGGAGGGGCCTCCGGCGGGTGACTCGGCTCCTGGCCACGGGCACTGCCGCCGAGGTCGGCTGGGGTGGCCACGCACATGTGAGGGGGCCCCCACCTGCACCGGGCAGCCCGTCCCCCGGTGGAGGCTCCCCGGGGGCGACGACAGGACACACAGCGGCTGCCCGCGCCGTACCCAGGCCAAAGCCGGGGCGGTGAGCGGGCCTGATGTCGGAAGGGGCAGTCTGCCCCCTGGGCGGCCCTGGCCCCGGGCGGGGTGTCGAGGGAGGACTCCAGTGGGAGGAGCCGGCGGCCGAGCCGGACGCCCTGGGCAGGGGGTCTCCGGGACCGGCCTGCAACCCCAGCACTGGCTGCTGGGGGCCTGGGGTTCAGGGAGCTCGAAGGCAGCCAAGCTCCCCCGCGCGGCACCACCCCGCTGCAGCCCACGCTCCCTGGGGTGCAAGAAGGGGCTCGGGCCTGGCGATAAGATTTATTATTCTCTGCTCTGTACAAGCCGCGTCGCTCCCGCCCCCACCCCACCCCCCAAGAGCGCCCCCCACCGGCTCACTCTGCCGACCTGGAGGCCAGGGCGGCGGGAGGCCGGCCGGGAGCGGCGGCCCTCAGGCATCCTTGCCGGCCAGGCTGCCCCCCCCCGCGGCGCCCTCGGCCTTGTGGGCCAGGCGGTGCTTCTTGAGCCCGTAGGTGTTGGCAAAGCCCTCGCCGCAGGAGGAGCAGCGGAAGGGCCGGCCGCCCTGGTGCGCCGCCAGGTGCTTCCGGAAGTAGCCGGGGTCCTTGAAGGCCTTGAGGCAGGCGGGGCAGCGCAGCTCGGGCCGCGGCGGCTCGTGGGCGCGCTGGTGGCGCAGCACGGAGCTCAGGTAGAAGAAGCCCTTGCCGCAGTGCTCGCAGCGGTAGGCGCGCTCGCCCAGGTGCAGCCGCTGGTGCTCCAGCAGGTTGGAGCGGTAGCGGAAGGTCTTGCCGCAGGCGCCGCAGCGCTGGGGCCGGGCCACGGCGTGCAGGCGCCGGTGCTCCGCCAGGCTGGACGACTGCGCGAAGCGCTTGGCGCACACGCCGCACTTGAAGGCGCGCTCGCCGGTGTGCACCACGCGGTGCTGCCGCAGGTACCAGGAGCGCAGGAAGCCGCGGCCGCACACGCCGCACCGGTAGGGCCGCTGCTCCGTGTGGCAGCGCTGGTGGCGCATGAGCAGCGCCGCCTCCCAGAAGCGCTTGCCGCACACCGGGCAGCGGAAGCCCCGCTTCTGCCGGTGGCTGCGGCGGTGCAGCAGCAGGTCGTAGGCGCCCGCGAAGCTCTGGCCGCACAGGCCGCAGCCCAGGGTCCGCCGCACCAGGTGCACGTACTTGTGCGTCACCAGCCCCAGGAAGTGCTTGAAGCTCTGGCCGCAGGTGGCGCAGCTGAAGCGCT